TAATTAATCCAACTTTTGGTTTGTTTGATTCAAATGCAAATATTGTTTACTTAAATACCGTATATATTAAAGACAACAAAATGACTCAATTATTGTTATAGTTAGGCAATGCGTTGAATGATGTCTTGAGATCAGATAAATACCATGAATACAGATATAATTGAGTGATAGTTAGTGTAAAGTGAGAGCAGATTGGGAACCAATGAAATACTGGAATCTAATACATTGAGTGTCATTTTGGCACTAATTATATGGGTATAGTGTACTGTAATGGGCTATTGACAGCACAAATCAAACATAAATGAGATTATAATGATAGGATAGTTGTCATCGAAGTTTGATTTTATAGAGTTTTAATTTGAATCCCAATAACTCAGTGAGAACTGCAGAAAATGCAGACAAAACCACTACTTTAGTGATGTTATAGAGGTATGGATTGGCACAGAATCCAGAGATCTTGTAGGGACTCTCGAGTTCTTTGAGCAGATCAGCTGCCAGTTTGAGGACATGATTGGCGAGAGTGAGCTCTTCCTTCTTGTGTGGCTTTTGTTCCAATTGTAGGTACAAATTGATTTGTTCTGTTATGAGAATCGATAGGTTTTCACGATATTTCCGGTTAATTCTCGAGCCAAGAATCATGAGCCGCATGATGTATAGGCCTAACGCCAGGTTCCAAAACACCATTTCCCAGCAGTAGAGTTTGGCCGCACACACCTCCGACTCCTTCAGTAGTTGCAGACATATGAACGTCAAAATGCAGACCGCGATCACAAAACTACTCGAACAGATGGCATCCACCGACCGGATGGGTCCGTGTCTGTCATCAATACAATCAAATGTCTCAATAATGGTTGTGTTGTACGACCAGTGAATACATACCTTCTTAAGTAGGAGCGCACGGACAGCCATACTTTCAGATTTCTCACTTTATGTAGTCTAAAGTGAGGCACTTCTGAACGCTTAGCCCTATCTCTTCGCGTCAATTGAGAGAAATATTTTGCGTATAAAAAGCGCTAAGAAATTGAGACATGGATTCAAATATGATTCAAACATAAGTTATAAGTTATAATAACACTAATGAATAGACTGATAAACACTTAGCCCTCACCTGTTTGTACGTACGTTCGGCCACACATAGCACGAAGAAGTAGAGCATCGATAGCACAGCCCTTTCGACCATTGCTATCAACACAACACATCGCACTCTGAAAGCAATTAAATTGATGATATCAACTAAATTATCAATTTGTCAAATAGTTTGCCTAATAATACCTCCAATTGGAACCCAATATACATTCAGCGATGAAATCCAAATCAAGTGCTGGAAAATTGAGTAAATCTATTATTTCGGAGGTATTTGTCTGAGCGCTGGCAGAGTTGCCATTCTGTTGAAGCCGGAAAAGGCCGGGAAGTATTGCCAGTATTATTGAGAAAACAAAACCCAAATAAATATATTCAGAGCTGTGTTTAATTGAATCCACTTTTCTGATAATCGATGAGCTGATGTCCACAACAGAGAGATCCACTTTCTGGCACTCGTGTTGCTGCCATACGGCACAACTCACTGATAGACACAACGGAACAGCATTTGTTTGCATTAGATTTGTCTCTTTTTATTCATTGTCTTTTCCATTACCTTTAGTTTCATTAGTGTTGTCGTCGTGACAGTCGTGACACAACTCATTAAAGATGGTATAGAGAGGGGCCGACACTTCGTCACCAAATTCTGGATAAATGAAATACTTGGCGGCAGTGGAGCCCGTTGTCTCCTGATGGCTATCCTCCTCATCAGAAGTGCCCTCTGAATTGATGAGCGGCCAGTCTAGATCTGATGCCATTCCCATTCCTATTCCGATTCCCTATTACAGTATAATATTATTAATATTATATAACTTATTAGTTCAATTTATAATTATATCAAACAGACCGGAGTCGGAGTGTTTGGAGTCGTTGGAGACATTGTTCCCTCCGATTCACAAGAAGAATATTCTCTGGATTTGTGGTGAGATACTGGTGGAGACAAATGTAATGATTTCATTCGTTTTCGTTTCTTGGATCTCAGATTTTCTTTGTATTTATGAGTCTTCGCGTCTTTACTTCCCTCTGAATATCTTCGAGATGTCATTTCCAAGTCATTCATATTTTTGCACTTATTTATGCTTTTGCTAGACTTTGATTCAGAAAATCTGCGCCAAAAATATTGATTAGAAGAGCTGTCTTCGAGATCAAAATCATCAGAACTGAGATCAGAGTTTTCAGCGGAAAGCCTTTCATTAATTTTAATGCGAGGAATAGTTTTGTCAAAATTTAACTTTTCAATCGATGAATACCCTCGTCTTTCACTCAAAGACTTGTTAGGAATGACATCGGCTTTAATATCAAGACTTCCTAAACCACTTTCTTCGTCGGAACCGCCAGTCTTAACGTTTTGTCTTTCGGGCTCTTCAGTGGTCTTATCGGGTGTTTGTTTTGGTTTCCTTTTTCTTTTCTTTTTGTGCAAATGTTGTGAATTTGTGGCATATTTTGAGGAATGAAAAGATGATTGACTTTTGTTGACTATTTTGGTTCCAACTATTTGTGTGTGAATGACACCGAGTATAGTCATCATGACAATAGGCATCAGCACTTCAGATGCGGGCACTTCTGAGAACTGATCAGAAGTAGAGGACAAGCCGTCCTCGAAGTATATGTGCAGAGAAAACACTTGTAAGAGATATAAAGCAAGTAATAGGAGACATATGAATGCATTGGTCTGTTCTCTCCACCACTTGAGATACAGAGGCAGAAGAATGACTCGATTGATGCCGGAGTAGGTGGCAGACAGCCATCCCTGTTGTGATTTGGCTTTCGTAAAAGCAGTGCCACGAATGAGATCCAAGTCAATGAGCTCTGTCTTCACTTTGGCCACCTTCTTGGGAATGGCATTCATACCCTTCAGCATCCGTTCATCGATGGTCTGCTCCCACTTCTGCTTATCATACGAACCAATCTATTCATCCAATCAATCATTAATTGAATCATGAATTTAATAAGCATTTCATTTTGCAATTCATTCTCAACTATACTCCCATTCATTGATTGCTTACTTATACTTAACTGAAATAAGATATACAGTATATTTTTAATAATTAAATTACAATCAAAATATAATACACATTCAATCAATTTAATTTTATAATTTTATGTTTTTATTAATTGAATTTGTTTTCAAACTTTTAGTATTTATTGAAAACATTTTTGTCAATATATTTCAGATTTAAATTCATATTTAATACAATTAAATGCCTTTAATTATGAATTCAATTATTAATACAAAACAAATACAAAAATACAACAAAATTTAAAACAAAATTAGTATTGATTTAAAATATTATTAAATAATAAAAATTGAAAAATAATTATCAAATTAAAAGTGAAAATAAAGGAAATGATAGGAAATGATGAGGAATTTAAAGACAAATACCTTTTTCTGATACGAAGACAACATAGCGTCCATTGATTTAACCATTTATTTAAATCGCTTTTAATTAAAACTAATTTATTTCTAAACTATTACAACAATATTTACAATCAATTTATAGTAACAATAGTTTGTCCACAAAATGGCATTGAATTGTAATAATTACTCTAATTATAAATGACTTTAGTTTCAAATCAATTGCTTATTTAATATGATAGAGATTTGAAATACAATACATATAAATGAAATGTGAGTTCAATCTGAAGTGAATATCATTTCAAATAAAAATATTATTTAATTGTAAATTGGATTCAAGTTTGCAATGAATTCTTAAATGACAATCATTTGAGTTGTCATTCAATATCACATCATATGTACAGTGAATGCCACACTCGAGTCACAGTAGAGTTGAATGCATCACAACAGCACTGTACAGTAGAATACTGTAGCATGAACATTTGTAAATGTACAGTACATATCATACCAGTATCTCATATAAACAATGTATTCCTTAAGCTGCTTACTGTACAAGTACTGTACTTATATCTGATTAAATAATACAAGTTTGCCATCTCTCAATAACAGCAAATTGCTTAACAGTAATAATTTGTACGTGTTCTCTTATTTGTTTAATTTTTAAGTTATTTGATGAATTTTTAATTATTAATTTATAAGTTTAATCTAAAATATAAATCATAAAATTAAATTAAAATCAATGTTTAAAAAGGGCATATGTAAAAATTTATAATTAAGTTTATACAGTACATTCTGCCAGCAATACACGATCTCACTTTATTAATATATTTAGCTGACAGTAACTTGTGAGCACTACTGGATTCACTGGATTTAGTGATGTTGAGGTCATTTTGTCATCAGATGTAAGCTTACGAGTTTGTAATACAACTTTATACCCTTCATCTCAAACCATTAAACATGAATGTGTAATACTGTACAATGTCTAATACAAATCAAAGTTTTCTATTTACGGTACATTGTACCGAACATTATTGTATTATTTCATTAGACACTTAAGTTAACTATCATTAGACTAATATGTTTGTAATATGTATCATATGTATTCTAAACAAAAAATTCAAAATAGGTAAAATTTTATGTAACATTGGTTCAAAATCCCTTCATTTAAAAAATTGTTTAATTTAAAACTTGTACCTTATTGTCTATGTGCAATTTATTTTTACTATCGTACCGGTACTAGTATCGTACCGAAGGTACCTTACTACATAGTACCTAATAATTGGTTGAAACATTTCCCGATTATGTTTTTTGGGGGAAGGTGGCTAAGGGTATTTATTCTTAAGGTCAATTTTTGGTCAAATTTTGCTTGCGTACTTTGATATTTGTGATCGACGCCTAATCAATGATTCATTTGGCAATGAAATTCAATGTTAATATAGGCAGGTGATTTAAAAGTACGGGTAATAACTTTTGTACACTTATTGCATGTAATGTTTTGACAGTTAAGTGTATGAACTCTTTGTAGGTGTGATATGGATATTGACTCGATATCAAGGGTTATTCACTAAATTCTCAAACTGTAGAATAAGTATTGTACATTATTTTGGAATTACCGTATAATGGTGTACTACTACCGTATGATTATTACCAAATATAATACTGTATATAGATGAATCATATTTTGTAAATTCATATAAATTTCATACTACGGTATATTGTAGTTAAATATTACGGTGGTTACAGAGTCCGGTACGATGAGTAGGATAACTGATTCGGTAAATACCAAAATATATTATATAAAAGATGATATTTCAAGTCAATTTCATTTCAAATATATTTTATTTCATATTATCGTATATAATATGATTTAATGATAAGGAATACATTAGAAAATGATAAAAATGAAAGTATTTGAAATACGTTTATATTTAAGCCTCGATTTCTCCCAAATATAAATTCTTGTCACTCGAACCCGAGAGGACTGTAATGTAAAAGAAAGTGAAAACTTATGAACAGTGAAAGACTTAACAGATAATTACCGATTGGTTCTGAGGGATGGAAAACAACTTCATTAACAGAACCCAAATGTCCGGGAAGTTTGTAAAGAACTCTCTTATAGGTTGCGTCCCATATGTAGACAAAACGATCGGCCGATCCGGCGGTCACTTTAGTGCCGTCCGGACTCCACGAACACCGAAGAAGATTCTTCTCGAAGTTGTGCTGATGTCCGGTCAGGGTTTTGATGCATCGGTCTTGTGGTGCAAACGGACGGATATCCCAAATGCAAACTATAAGCAAACGCAGTCAGGAAATGTCACAACACCACTACTTATGCTAATATGGTATCAATAAGTACGGTAATACGGGGTCATAACATTGAACACAAATCATCAATTCATAATCTAGGTATTAAGGGATTATCAAATATTTATACCCAACTAATAAGTATCAAATTGATTCTACCGGTATCAATAATTAATATACAGGTATCAACAATTATTAGACCGTATATTAAGCATGGTAAAACATTTTTAACTAATTAAGCGATTTTAATGTTTAAGTGAGTCTACTGTTAAAGTGAATGTACCGGTATATGCATAAAAGTAGCGTAAAATAAAAATAATGTTTGAAACTTTAAAGTTGTAGCCAATAGTAAGACTTACGAGAATTATCCATAGAATTAGACAAAACATAATTGCCGTCAGGACTGAGTGCCAGACCGGTAACCGTATCGAAATGTCCGGCCATTGTATATAAGATGTCATTTTTACGCAAATCATACACTTTGAGGACGTTTTCAATGCCAGAAAAGATGATTTGATCGGAAGAGTCATTGAAAGTAATGGCAGTTATTTGATAGTTGTCTTTGAAGTACGAGACGAGTCCTCTCTTCCTTTGGTCCCATAGTCTGACAGTGCAGTCATCGCCACCACTGCATAATAGCTGTGATCTTCTCGATGGGTGACAACAGTTGACGATTGATTGATGAGCTGTTAATTTCTTAATGCGAGCGCCGGTATGCGAGTCCCATATCATAATCGATTTGTCAGTACTTGCGCTCAATATGTAGTCTCCTTCTGATGAGAAGTGCAGATCAAGAACCGCTCCCTTATGGCCACTAAGAACTCCATAATTATCGCATTCGCCGTAAGTATTCCACATGACTATTATCACCAAAAACACATCCAACCATTCATTAGTCATTCATTCATTTGTCACCAAAATATCGCATTTCTATCAATGCTTTGGTCTCCAACTCTTCCCGCTAATCAAAACCATTCATTTCAATCATTTGTTTGCAAATCAAACACAAGTTATAGTAAATGTATGGCACGGGTAGAGGGAAAGGCAAACCATAAGTATGACATCAATTGCTTACAGATATCTCTGTCGAAACCACTGGATATTAAAGTATTGCCGTTTGGATGGAATTTCACACTATTTACTTCAGACTTGTGTCCACTCAACAGCATTATCGGTGACATCAAACTCGACGTCCGACTCACAGTCTGTTCCCAAATAAGACATCAATCAATGCATTCAATTCAAGACATTTGTCTCTTGGATACCAACCGATTGGACAGAAGAGTCGGTCGAGTGGACGGCCGACAACTCATCGTTGCGACCCTTCTTCGACACAAATGCCACCAAAGCCTCACTCGAAGGTCTCTTCGTAGCACCCGTTACTGGCATCTCATCTGATCTCCAGTGATCTTCACTGATCCAAGTGATCCAAGTGTGGGATTGTGGTGTGACGTGTGTGTCAATCACTCAAGAAGTGAATCAATGCATGTATTGACTGTGAATGCTTGCACTGCTTCAATGTGAAAGTGTTTGTCTCAATGCATGCGTTCAGTGTTTGGTCGCACAGATGGCACTCCAAACACAACACCACGAATAAGAGTGCAGAATATTCTGTAAGAATACAACTACAGTGTGACTACAGTATGCTTGCAGTGCTATCCGTTGTTTGTCTTTAATTGGTTTGAAATTGTTTTCATATGATGTCATTCATCTCATTATCAAAATATTCAATGAATTGAATGTTAATGAAGTGATAATTATTATATAATTGTGAACTAACTTAACTATTTATTTATTTATTGGCTAGTTAAACTAACAAGTAAGAATAGCTGAGCATTTCTAGTAGGATATGTATACTATTTTATCTTTTCTCATTAATTATTTAAGTTATTATTTAGTTTAAATTTATATTATTTAGAATAATATTAATTGTTACAAACTATATGCAGTATATTAGTATGAACATACCGGTACAAGTGTCAAATGTTTTATTTGCAAGTTTCTCATTTTAAACGTAAGAATAAGAATAATAGATAATGCTGGTATTTAAAATGTGATAACTTGCTCGTCATATAAAAAGTTATGATATATGTCTCTGAGTTAATAAATGTTATCTTATTATTAAACACAATATAAATGAAGAATAATGAAGATTGTAGTTACACTGATTTAAAATGAATTTATAGCAAATATAATCTTAATAAAAACAATTTATTAAAGAGATTCATAATAAACTAGACTAATAAAAATTAATTTTTAATCCATTGTATTTTGTGAGTAACTTTGGATGATATCATTTATACTAAAGTAGGTTCCGGTGACGAAACCAAGGATTTCAAAACAATACAATCACACCATTCCTGAGACACATCCATACCCTCGCATATGTTTCTTTAGATAATCATTAATATGGCTAATATCCCCGAACCGATATATGACTTTAAAAGATGCATAAAAGCTTGGATTTCAGTCGTCTGGCCAGACATCTTCCAATTCCTATTGTTTCTCAACTATTTTTGAATTAATTTTACAGTTATTCATTATAAATTAAAACTTATTATGAGTAATTGATTTTATTTTATATTGTTAACTATTGTATATTATAAAGTTTTTATAAGTATAGTATCTAAAAGATACAGTATCTCCCATTATAATGAATCATTATCAATGATTTACATATAATTAAGTTGTTTTTTATTTATTAATTTATGAATTGATTATAAATTCCCGACAATTTCGAAGATAAATTCAAGTTAAATTATATTGTTATAAAATATGCTGTCTCATTAGTACATTCTTATAAAATGTATATTACATTAATATATTGCACAAATAGTATATTATAATTTACTGTATTTTAAATTGACTTATTTTTATTTTTTAAACTTAAACTTTTGAAAATATAATAATTTAAATTTAATAAGTTTCATATTTTCTATTAATGGTTGGCTAACCTAACTGTATTATTAATTATATTAAATTTTAAAATAGTGTACACTACTGTACAGTACTATAAACAGGAAAATATTTCCTTTATTTAATCGATCATTTCAAAATATTAATATTAAAATTAGTAAAATAAATATTTAGGACTTCGCACGTAAAGGTGAACCATATTTTTTAAAGAAAATTCAAAATGAAATGATTTTTTTATTTGTAAAATTTTAAATAAAACGTTAAGTATAATAGCTAAATCGTTTGAATATATATATAACTAGTAAGTATCCAATAAATCTGTGGATTTGATAATATTGTAGTTGATTGCAATGATTGTCAACTTGAAGGTCAGAGTTTGAAAAAAGTATATGTCTTTGAATGTTGGGTATTCTCTGTAAGTATTGTTGTGTTAGTAAAACATTTACAAAAACTCTTTTTGTGCGCTATGTTTGCTGTTCTCCATAAGTCTATTTGGCTCCGGGCTATAGTATATGTCCACCAGATGTCCAATATATGGTGCAGTGTTACTCTTACTGACCACAACCCACTATTCCATATACAGTATACTGTATACTATACTGTAATAATTCTTAAAAATAAATTATTTCTTTATATCTTATATCCCTTACATCCAAATGTTTTGATTAATAAATTCAAACCAATGTTCAACTAAAGTACTGTTTAAACCGTATCTTATTTTTGACCAAAAATTCTAAAAAACATTTACAACTTCTAACAATACAGTAAACATGTATCATAGTGTAAACAGATAACAAATTTAATATAAAAAGTTTATAAAATGAATGAATGCAAGAGTGAAAGAGTGATACAGTGTTTGTATGCATAACTGCAATATATTTTAACAATAAATGCTTGTTTGAAGGCAATGGTTGGTGAATACCGTAAATGACTATATTATTCATAGGGTTATATGCGTTGAAGCTATGGTCAGATCAGTAATACATTGCTTAGTTTTGATGAGGTTTTTTGAGCCCTTATATGTGTGTCCAGTAGTGTCTGCACTGTATGGCCATATAGTGTAGTAACTGTTTCCTCACTGCAAATATTGTACATAAAAGAGTGAGTCATAGGTTTAGAGGAAAAATAATGGCTCACAAACCCGTTCAATACAAATGCAGACACTGTAGGGTTAGTGTGAGGAGAGAGTGGACCAACATTTTTGGCCAATAGATATTCACTCGTTATTTACCATTTCTTTTGATCTTCACTTTCGATCCAACAGTGAGTGAGAGAGGGAGAGAGTGAGTGAGTGAGAGAGAGAGAAAGTGCAGACACTACTGGACACACATATAAGGGCTCAAAAAACCTCATCAAAACTAAGCAATGTATTACTGATCTGACCATTTCTTTTGATCTTCACTTTCGATCCAACAGTGAGTGAGAGAGAGAGAGAGAGAGAGAGAGAGAGAGAGTCCAGTGCTGTTGTGCTGTCGATAATCTTTTTAATGGCGTTATTCCGTGTTTTGCCGCATATATGGTCTCCTCGGAGACTAACCACTACTCAGACAAAATGTATTAGAAATATATATTCAATGATTAATATCTCTATGACATCCTCTGACCGTTAGGCTCAGGAGAAATCATTTTAAGTTAAAACACATTCTGTTTGTTTCGTATCTTAAATGTTGTTATCATTGAATATATTTTGTTTTTATGATTGTTTTACAACTTCTCAGACAAACATTTACTTAATTTATTTATTTGCGTAAAAAAGAGTAGAATTTTAACAATAGTTGCGATATTTAATACGGAGGGGGAGAGGGAGTGATAAGCGATAGTATGGGTTCATTAGATCCATAAAAAGAGGAAACAAGAGTTTTGACAACAGATGCTCTTCACTCACACTCTCTCTCATTGATGGAAAGGGCATAAAAAATATGCCAACACTTCCAACACTTTACTATTGTTATGCCTTTCAAAACAAACCCTTACTATTGATATGAAAATAAAAGAGAGACAGAAATCAAATCAATGAACGGATTGTATTTATACTACAAAATAGGGATTGTTATCATTGAAAGAGTGTATGCTTTTTTAGTGCAATATATGAGATTCAGGGACAGCCTTCATGTGATTGAGTGCTCCCTCTTTATAGCACAGAATTTCTACAATTCTTGTTGTATTCAAAATCATTTATTACAATATCATTCATTAGCACTTTTACAAACAATGCCTGAACGGAAATTGTTCCCGCTAATTGTAATTAAACCCGACTGAATTATGCTCGTATAGTATGGTATAGCAATAATATCCAGGTCCGGTAAACTATGGGAATGTCTTAGGTGTCCAAATCGGTGGTTATATCGGTCGACGCGCTATAAAAACTCCATACATTATATTGAGGACAGTATTGAATAGATATCATAAAAATATAGAAATGAAAATAATTAAGTTATAACATTGTAACACATACAATAGTGAAACATGTACAACCTGTTTGTTTAGAAGTGCAATTATTATTTTAAAATGAATTAAATAGAATAGTAGAAATGAAAAAATAAGACAATTAGAGAAATAATAGCCTTATATGATAATAATGATGGTAAAACATGACAGACTGGCAGCCAGTGCTCACTAGCATATAGTTTGATCGTAGAGAAAGAGGTTGATGTGTGTGGTATGAGCGGCCAGTATGTCGTAAAGGGTTATTGATCTGATGATCTGCTCCAACATGATATCATGATATAGTTGTTTTGCTCTTCATCTCCTCAGTGCTTCATCCCTTTCCCTCCACTTATTTTTTGCAATGCGTGCTCCAAAACAATATCTCTATTAGTTGTGGAATACAGTACTGCACTGTACTATACTATTACTTTGTATATACAGTACTAGACTACCCCTCAGAATAACATAGTCTCTAATATTAGCAGAGTTTCAGTAACACAACTGTAGAGAAACTAATCTAATAATAAACAAAATTCATATAATTCTGATCCAATGTTTTCCTGAATGTGTGGCCATTAGTTGTGAATACCTTTTATTTACTTCTTGTATGCAATTGTTTTGATAATTAAATTAAATTAAACCGAAATTTCATTATAAGATACTCCAACACTATTATTTGGTATTTAATTTACCATTTTACACAATTTATATTTCATGTTTTAAACATTAACACACACAACAACTACAGTAAAAAGGTTAGTCAATTATCTAAATGATAGAGTACAGAAGTGAACTGGCATATTTTAAAATTTGGTATAACTTATATTATAGAAAGTCAATCAATCCTTTATCCTAAGGGTTGTTGTTTGACTGAAACCGATTCAATCACATTAACATTCTGTACAATCCCTTCACTACACAATTGCATTCATTTGATAAATATGTCAGTAGTGGGGGTTAGATATTCCATATAAAAGACCAAGGACATCTTGACAATTTTGTGTCCATTCCCTCAAAAATAATGTATTTTTAGAATTAAATATATATTTCAAAGAAAAAAGAAAATATGAACAATATTTGAATGCTGACAAAGTTTATGGTATACCGTATGTACCGTACAGTATGTATGGCACAGTTTTCACATACAGAATGACATGTATTTT